GTCCTCTTCAGAGGCACACTGTTGCTTTACTTCCGGTCTGCATCTGCCTTTGCCAGGAAAGCCCAAAGACATCAGTTTCTGTTGTAACAAACAGCTGTGAGCCTCGTCGTTTGAGTTCTTTCTTAGAAACCAGACCAACATCTTCCCAGTTCCCCAGAGAACTGTACTTCATCACTTCCTAGTGATAAGGCACCTCAGTTACACACACCTTCAAGGGCTGGACCTAGTCGGAGGCACTTTCAGTGACTCCAAGTTGGGGCTATGGGAGAAGGGGTACAAGAGTCTGGTCCGGCCCTTTATACTTCTGGAGATCCCTTGATCTCTGCTTTGTTTGACTAATGGTTCCTAGCTGGAGCAGACAGTTGCTTGCTTGGCCCAACCAACTATATCCTGTTTCTGAGGCAAAACTTCGCATCGACAGAGCCCTAGTGAGCAGAGGAGAGCGCCACCTCGAGGACCCGAGCAGTATTGATGCGCAGCCTTGCCCAGCTCTGTGGACTTGGGCCATTTCTCAGCAGCAGCTGCTTTTCTCTTTGCACTGTTTGTTTATGTGGTAATGTTAGCTAATCCCACCGTGTGTCCATAAATTGTTATTTTTTTTAATTTGTAAAAATCTATTTTTATTTGAACTTTTGGAACTCAGAAGTTCTCACTGTAACTGTAACACATCAAAATAAAATTCCTTCATCTGTCTCCTTAAGCCTTTTGCCTCCACAGTGCTCTTCAGCAGAGTGCTTGGACTTTTATTTATTCCATTCCTAGACATAAAAGTTGCAAAGCCTGAAAGTAGATTTCTGATCTCAGGTCTCTCCCTATGTGGCTCTGCCTCTTTAATTCAGACAGGGGCTCCACTTGTCTGTGTCAGAGAACGACTTTAACCCTAACATGTCATGCTCTGTGGATCTCGACAAGGATCCCGAGTTATCTCTAGGCTTGTCTTCCTTTTAAAACGACACGTTTAAATAAACAAGCCACTGAGTAGATTAAAATTCATCACAGCACCCTGTGTTTCATTAGGTTTTTCAAGATGATGAATTGGAATTAGGGAGCCCTGGTCACCTAGCAGGTAAGGAGTTGTATTCTCAACCCAAAAGCAGCAGGTTGGACCTCCAGCTGCTCCACGGGAGAAATATGGGCCCTCTCCTCCCAATTTTAGCAACCTCTGAAAACGTGCAGGAAGGTCAGCTCTGAGTCCCTTCTAACTCAATAGCAATGAGTGAGTGACTAACTTTGAAAATGGACTTCCAGGCCTTTCTTCAAAAGGCATCCCTGGGTGAACTTGAACCAGCAATGTCGGGATTAGCAGCAGAGTGTGTTAACCATTGCGTACACACCCCCCTCCCCAGTACTTTATGGACCTTGGTAGCTGCTGTCAAGTACAACTCATAGTGATCCTGTGAACAAGAACCTGAACCCTGGCTTGTCCTGTGTGCTCCTCACAATCTAACACACCAGAGCCCATTTCTGCAGTTACTGTGTCAGTCCGTCTGGTTGAGGCTCTTCCTCTTTTCCCCCACTCCCCACCCTTCCAAGCATGATGATGTCCCTCTCCAATAAATGCCCACTCCAACAACATGCCCAAAGTGTATGAGACGAATATTAACACCTTGTTTAATGCAGTGTGTTGCACCTTTGTTAGAAATATGTTCCGTCCTCACAAAGACCACTTAACACCTTCCAGCTCTTGCTTCCTGAATCAGGAGATCGGGAATCCATTTGTATCTCTGGCGGTGTTCTACTTAAGAAATTGTTTCACAGATTCCCAAGATTTAACCAGAAGAAAAAAAAAATTGCAATCTGTAGATGTTTAGACTGTGGGTAACCTGCGGGTGCCATCTGCCTGTTTTTTGTTCACTTTCCTTTTGATTTCTCAAGACATGTGACTTTGTTCATCTCTGATCTTCAGGTTGCCATTTGAGCAGTGGTAGAGACCCTCTCAGGCACTCAGGCTCCTCCACTTACTCCCAAGTCTGCTCTAAGTTCAAAGGGCGTCTTCTGCCTTACAGGCTTAGCACTTCAAGTAGATTCCACCCGCCGTGAGCGCTCAGTGTTACAGCGACCCTTCAGGAGTTAGCGTAGCCACTGTGCCTCCCCTCCTAGGGACTCGCTCTACCTCACGCTCATCAGGAGCCAGGTTGGACTAAATGCTCTTTTCTGTCTCTGTAACCTTGTCTTTGTCAGCCATTCTCTCTCTGGTCTCCTCCCTTCTGCTTGAAATTCAAATAAGGTATCTACTGGAAATGTACAAGCTCTGAAGGCACTGTAGACTAAACAGTGGGTTACTAGCTGAAAGGTCACTGGTTCAAATCCACCAGTCATTCCACAGGAGAAAAATGTGGCAGTTTGCTTCCATGAAGATTTACAGCCTTGGGAGTTAGGGGGCAGTATCTACTCTGTCCTATGGGACCAAGTTGACAACAGTGAGGTTTGGATTTGTTTGGGGAAATTATCAGATTAGTGAGCTACCCCAACTTCCTAACCATCAATTCACTTCTGTCCTCCCCTCCCTTCTGCATGGAGTTAATGGCTTCATTATTTTACCCTTTTCCAATTTCTGTGCCAGACCAACAAAATTTGACCAACAGTTATCAAGCACCTGTTGCTGTGTGCTACGAGAATTGCTGAAGATACATTTCTCTATAAGTAGCTTTGCCGTCTAAAGGAGGTAGGCACGTACACAACGTTGTGTATTACTGTCACACTTACAATGTGCAGTGCTGGCCATGGAGAGAGGAAGGAGAGTTTATATACTGGCTTACATGGTTATCAGAGCAGACTTTAAGGAAGAAGTATTTGCATGGAGGCTTGAGGAGTATAATGTTTTCAGGAGAACTAGGTGATGGGCGTTTCAAATAGAAGGAATAACGAAGAACACAGAAGGGCCTGGGTTGATGTGGGAATGTTGAGAGAGTGAGGTTCAAGAGGGTAACAGGTGGGAAAATAGGAGTACTCCCTATTTTGGGTGAACTTTATGTCTGGTATTTTCTGCTTAGGAAAATACCGTTTAAAAAGAAGCTGAATTAAAAAATGCTGCATCTGCCCTTAAATTCTTAGGTAAGTCTATAAATCCAGGTAACTTGGACTTGAATTAGAGATGATGACTGTCCCACGCACATGTGTCAACACCCAAGAGACACTAACTCAGCCTTTGAGCAAACCTTTTCTTCATTTCCTGCCTTTTAAAACCCAGCCTGCAACCTCCTTTTTTTCCTGCCTGACAGTGTAATGTAGTCAACTCCAGCAGCTACCTCTCTCAAAGTATCAGAAAATTCAGCCAATACCCTCCAAGAATGTATTTTTCAAATAACTCTGAGCCCTGGTGACTCAGTGCTTGCAGAGCCCAGCTCCTAAATGGAAGACCAGCAGTTTGAGCCTCCCAGCCACTCCTCAGAAGAGAAATGACAATTGGCTTGTGAAAAGATTTACAGTCTTGAAACCCCTATAGGGCAGCTCCACTCCATCGTGTTGGGTCCTCTTAAGTCTGAACCAACCAGACAGCAATGGGTTTAGAGTGGGGGTGGGTGTTAAAAAAGAACTGTAACCATAAGCAGCATAAGCACAAATCTGTTGAGCACAAGCTGTGTTAGATGTAACCAGAAAGTAAGTCTGTAGTTCAATAAATAAGCCCTCTGGCCTGGATGTGAGAAGATCTAAGCTAGACTTCTAGTCCACTGGGGCTTTCCTCAAGACCCATGACTGAAGCTAGAATTAAAAGGGCCAAAAGAAAGGCACAGAATGTCCTTCTGGGAAAGGGTAAAATAAAAAGGAATTTTTTCTAAATCTTGCCATCAAGTCAAGTCCCATTCATAACAACCTTGTATGACAGAGAACTGCCTCATGGGGTTTCCAAGGTTGCAATTTTTTTGCAAACAGACTGTCACATCTTTCTTCCATGCAGCACCTGATGAGTTTATAAAAGCCATCAGCCTTCTGCTACACAGCCATGTACTTAACTCCTGCACCACCAGGGCACCTTTCTCTTCCTCTAGAAACGAAAGAAATCACAGTCCGAACCATTGGCTTTTCTGTCCATGGTGCTGAAGTTTATTCATTTCCCCGCCCCTCAACCCTCTTTCAGTAACAGGTGGGCTGCATTCTGAATGTGAATGCATCGGGGTAGAAGAGGTGGAGAAGACAGAACAAATCCATTTTATCTACATTTAGCATAAAATGTGGGAAACGTTGACAGACAGGAAGCTGAAGCTGGACTAGGTGCTCATCAATTCAGAGTGGCCACGAGATGGGGCAATGTCGAGTGAGAGGTCATCCCGGGGAATGAGGGTCTTGGAGTCTGCCCAAGCCTGGCCCTCCTCCTCTTCCCTGGCCGTTATCTTCGATACTACAAAAAGAACACAGATGGGTTTGGCTTGGTGACAAGTTCTATTGGAAAAGTCAGCCTTGCATGACAGTGCTGCATCCCTTCAGCTCTGATCTGTTACTTCCACCAGTCCCCGTGCCTGATGACCCTTCTCAGTTTCATGAACTGATAACCAGGTTGTTCATATTAGGAGTTGGTGAGGACAGTGCTGGTCAGTTTCGCTTGCTCTTTGGGGGCCTTGCCGGTTTTGAGAAGGAACCTGCACTGCCCATCAGTAGTACAAAGATGACTGGAGCCTGTGAACATTTTCCTCTCCCCGTGGCAATAGGAAGAGGCCCTAGTGGTGCAGTGGTTAACTACTTGACAGGAAACCAAAGATCAGCAGTTAGAACCCTTCAGCCATTCCACAAAAGATGTGGCTGTCTGCTTTTATAAAAATTTACAGCCTTAAAAACTATCGGGCAGTTCCACCCTGTCCTTTAGGGTAACTACAGGCAGGACTCAGCTTATGGTAGTGGATAATGGCAGCAGTGGTGGCTAAGGGTGATGGTATTGTCCTGATGGGCCACCCCAGAGTTAAGGCAGAAATGTCAAAGAAACAAGCCTTTTATACTGGTCCCTTTCCAGCTGCAAATGTTCCCTAGTCACGTCCTTTAACAAGGTTTCAGCTTCAACATAACTGTCATTTCATTTCTCCCCCTCCCATTTCTACTCCCACCCTTCTTACCCGGAAACTGTTGCACCCGAGGCCACTCTGGGTTCCGATCCTGTCCATCCTTCCCCCGAAGCAGCTGGACCTCCGCAGGCTCCGAGGAGCAGCAAGGAGTGCTCGAAGCTTGTTTTTCAGGAGAGCAGATCTTTCAGAGGAGTCCCAGGAGCCCCTCCCAAGGGCACCTGCATCTTGCTGGGCTGAGCTGGCCTCCCTGGTCCAGGGAGACCCCTCAGGGAAAGGGCTGAGAGCCACCTCAGCCTCTTCATTCTGCTCACTTAGCACCTGCGGGGGCACGACCTCATCTTCTAAAGGCATCTTGTCCTCCAAACGGTCCAGTAGATTCTTTGCAAAAGGAAAACACAGAAGGAGGGAGAGAGGTCTCATGGGTTTGGAAAAACCAACAGGAATGCATACAATATCAGAAAGCCCCTTGGCCCCAGGCATAGTCACCATTGTTGGCCCTACCTTGAAATCCATCAGGTCTGCATTGGACACGGAGGTGTACACAGGGTTCGCCCTGGCTTGACCTGGAAGCTGAGATGTCAGGAAGAGGAGGAAGCCCATAGTGATGGTGGAGAAGGAGCCCATGCTGGTGTGTTGGCCAAAAGGTGGTCTGATGCTTGCTGCTGCTTCTCCTTCGTCTCCGGATCCACTCGTGTGGCCTTTGTCCGTCTGTCTGCCGACTGCCTTGTGCCTCCTCTTTTTATAGCCCCCAGTTCTCCAAGAGTGCAAGAGGGATGGAACCCTCCCCATTCTGTCACTTGCAGCGATAAAGCAGCTGAGTGAGGAGCCAGCAGAAGATGCCCTTTTAAAGTTATCAGCCCCGTGGAGCTTGTCACAGCCCCTCTGCCTTGAGCAGCCCCCCAGCCACCGCCTCACCCCAACCCAGACCCTCAGCTGCAAGAGTCACATTCTTGCTGATTGGCCTCAAGAGGCTACCACTTCAAAGGTGTGAGAAGAGCAAAAAAGAGTCCTTGGATATCTCACAGTGATGCCTCAGGATTCTTTCTTCCCAACAACCGGACCCCTGCGGGGAAGCAGAGGGTGGTGGTTGGCCGTCTCCCAGCTCCCCCGTTGGTTTGTGGTTCAGCTGGCAGGGGCTCCAAATAAGGGAGAGAGAGGAGGAAATGGCAGGAAGCCTGCAGCTCGGGACAAATTAGTCCAGATGCTCAGGCTGGCTTTACACCTGACTCATCGGCAGACATGGCCGATCGCTGGCCGCTGTTTGAAACTAGCCTACCCCCACCCCTACTTCTGAGAGCTTCTCTCTGCAGTCAGGTGAAAAGGGATTATTTTAGAGTATTCAATCAGTCAGGAACCAAATGTGATGAATGTCCTAGGAATTCTGCTTCCAAACATGAATACCAAGGATGGTTTGGGGAACCAGACATTCCTCTTCGACACCCTGCCTCCTTTCCATTCCCCCTGACCCTGTCCAAGTTGTGGGAGATAAGAGTGTAGAAGATGATGATGAGTTTTTTGGATTTTGAGGGTTTTTTCAGATTTTGGGGTTTTTTTAAATGATTTCTTCACTTCACTCAGAAATTCATTCCATTTATGGTGTTTATAAATGCCCAGACTTGGTGAATTTTGAGCTTTTAACCTTTGACCCTTCCCAGGGGTTCTAGTGGTATAATGCATTATGCATTGACCAAAAGGTCAGCAGTTTGAATCCACAAGCTGCTCTATGAGAGAAGGAAAGGCAGTCTCTTCCCATGAACATGTCCAGCCTCAGAAATCCAATGAAGGATTTCTGTGACAGTGGGTTTGATTCTTTTGCACCTTTCGAGGGGCAGAAAGGGAGCTCTGGTATCCTAGTCTGTAGGAAGCTACACTGCTAATCTCTCTAGTGGTTTGAATTCACCAGTGGCTCTGAGGGAGAAAGATGGAAACTCGCCTGCCATGCAACTAAGAGCCTCTGAAAGTCCGCTGAAGTCAGTTCCACCTTGACGGCAAAGAGTTGAACCTGATGGGGAGCTCTGGTGGCCTAGTGGCAAGAAGCTGCAACTACAATCCCAGAGGTGCATGGTTCGAATTCACCAGATGCTCTGCCGGGGAAGGAGGGGCAATCTCCTCCTGTACCAGTCAGATCTGATTTGACGGTACACGCACACAAAAATAATAAAATAAAAATAAAAAAAGAGTTGAACCTGAGGTTTTCCCGGGAAAATAGATAACAATGATGTGGAAGGTGAATTCTCAATGCAGTGTCCCTTAACGCTCCCAAATCCTTAAAAAAAAAAATGAGAAAAATTTGTACTTAGAATTAGCCAGCTGGACTCAGTTTAGATGATCCCAATTTTGTTGGCAACATCCAAAGCATCATAGTCAGAAGCAAGTCAGACACAGGCTTTCTCTCCATCAGGCCTAATCAAAAGTGTTGACCTTAGCCACATCAATGTCATAGAGCTTCTTTACAGCTTTGGAGCTTGTTGGCCTTGACATCCACAATGAGCACAAGTGTGTTGTTATCTTCTATCTTCTTCATGGCTGACTCAGTGGTCAGGGGAAACTTGATGATGGCACAGTGGTCAAGCTTGTTTCTCCTGGGG